TCTCTCTCTCTGCATGCGTACAATACACAGGAACAGTGAGTTGATAGCATCAGGATCCAGACGTGTGGTTTGTGCACACTGGCTGATTGGCATGCAGGGGATCTTGTGGGGATTTGGTCGGGGCAGCAGAGCACACGGTATGTGGCCAACCCGGCGAACCGAGTCCCTCCACTTGGTCTGAGCTTATCGGAAGCCGGCCTTCAGCAGAGCTCACACATAGTACTAACACGATTGATTGATTTTCTAAAGAAAGCTGGACAAGAAAAGGTTCGATGAGTTGAGAGGATAAGAGGAGCCTCTGCCGGGCCTGGGTTATCACCTGATGTCATCTCAGCGACTAGAACTGCCCGGTCAGATCCGGGATTAATTAGGCCTGATCCGGCTAAACTCCAGCCACAAGAGGTGGACAGGCAGGGAGATCCCGAACCCAAAGTGCTGCCCAACCGCGACCTCTTATGTTGCCATGCATGCCAGGAATAACAAGCGAGCCAAGCTAATAAGCTAGTGGAGTGGAGGCTCGGTGGGCAACGGCCGGCGTCGGTTTCCCGGCACAGTGCCGCCTCTCCCTTTCTCAAGATCGCCATCTATCTCTCGCCCGCCCGCCGGCCCGATCAGTACAGTACAGGCAGCATCTATCTACATCCTCCCGGTAGAGCAGATCCGTCGATCGGTTGGCTGTATCTGCACGGCATCCGCTCCATCTTTTCTGGAGCATTGGTTCCTTTTTTCTCTAAGCGTGGGGTGGCGAGGTGTGTGGCTAAGCTCCTCCTGCTCTGCTCTGGGTCATCAGTCAATGCTGACAGTCACTAATACCACTGGAACCCGAGGGCTTTGGTGCAGCGAGCGAATCATGATGGCTTTTGACAGGGAGGCGCGCGTACTGGTACTAGGCTACTACTGTGGTGGCGCTAATAGAGGAGGATCGCTTTCATTGTATGGGAGGTGAGATCTTACCGGGACGTAGGATCGCCGGAGAAAAGGACGGAGCTGAGGCTACTGGTCGTGGCACTACGCTGGACCATTCTAACGCTATGGGAGCGTAGTAGGAGTACTGCGTAGGACCCGTGCATAGGACGGTGCGTGCGCTTTCTTTCTTTATCGTCTGCTTGACCGGACCGAACCATGGTGCGCTCCGATCCGGTCTTCCCTCCCTGGTGGTGGTAGGCAGCGCGCGCGCGTATGTCGCGTCGGTCGCTGAAAATCCAAATCCTTCCTTCTTCTAGAAACAAAACGTAAAAAAGGAACTAGTAGTTAGTTAGACGCAGGATGACTTTGTTGACGAGAAAAACTTAGTTGGACATGACTTGTACCGAAGAAACGAGGACTGACTGACGCCGCATTTCTCGTTTGGGCCCCTGTAAAGTTGTAAGCTGAGCATGAGCACTCACAACGGTGCGGCGCCCTCCCAAAGGGCGTTCAACGCAAGCTCAGCCTTCACTTGTCAAGAAACATATACTATAGGTGTCTGCAGACCTGTGAGCATGACCCAAGCGAGAGAGAAAAAACGAGTACTCCCTCTGTCTAGGTGTGTAAGTCATCTTACGAAAACCAAATAATCCCAAAACACTTAGGCGTGGTGCATTAAATTCTATCTCGTTTCTTGTTTCTTTACATATCAACCAATAAGAGATGTGGGGTGTGCATGCTTCTAATGACTTGAGACTATCAAACATGACATGCAGTGATTAGTTCATTGCATGCAATACTATTAATTAGCAAATGGACATTAAGTTTTCTTGTTTTCTCCTCTTCTTTGGTCACGGTGCACAACCCAAGATGACTTACTCATCTAAACGGAGGAAGTAGCATTTCAGTAAGGCGCCGCGTTATTGTCAGTTCTCCGCTCCATTTGGCGGCTGGAGATGGAGAGCGAGAGGCCGTGCCTGCGTGTCGACCGAAGGCGTTTTGCCTGCCTGCCTTGCCGGGTCTCCCTCCCTCCCTCCCATGCGCCGTGACGCAGACACGGAGGGAGGAGTACATGCACCGGTCCGGTAGTGTCACGGTCTCGAAGAGATGGACACGAGGTCATTCTCAACTGACGACCTGCGACCGCGACGGAGCAGCCAGCCGTCAGTGCGCTCGGATATGCGTGCGGATTGCAACTTTGGCATCCGGGCACTCGCACAACCTCATCCGCAATCTCACTCACACTTGAGTTCTTTTTCTGTTTTGTATACTCACACCGTCACACTCACCTTCTAGCTAGTATAGTTAATAAGTTAAATGGCTCTCCTTATCGTAAGCCCATTTGTTAGAATTATAGCGCCTTCATTACATGACATCATCTGATTCTGTGTACATTTTACGGTGAAGGTTGTGGAATCAATCCACGCTAGTATAACCATAGCCGTATACATTTCAAACAGGGATGTGTGTGATGGAACCAAGCAACGTGTGCACACAGAAGACGGTCGTGCATGCGCGTCGGATCGAATTAGCATTCATATGCAGTATACGAGGAAGAACAACGTCGAGACAGCTAGCAGCACGAGTGTACGTGTACGTACGTAGTGTAATCCGATCCTGTGGTTTTGTGCTGTCCGTCTCTCTTTTGCTCTGCGAATCGAAGATCTCTCTTGATTTTTTTTTCGAGGACTTACTGCACGGTGGCAAGGGCGCAGTGGCACTTCCTTGCAGACCGAGTTCGACTCCTGTGAGGAGTGAATTTTGACGATCTCATTTGGGTGGGCTCATTCTATAAAAATATGTCCTGGATGCCCATGAATCTCATTTTTTATCAATATTAACCCTTTCTCGGGAGCAACTAATTAACGAGCGCTCCTTCGAGAGCCTCGCAACGATCAGCGCCACTTGGCACGCTCACAGCCGTTCGCCACGTGTCGCGCTCTGGGTACTTCCTCCGGATTTTGTATTTTTTATTTTTATGCACGCGTTTTCGGCTTTTTAAAAGTTTTTTTTTCGGTTTTTTTGACGTTTTGGTTTTCTACCGGTCTTCCCTAGCTTTTCGACCAAAAATAATAATTTCGAAAAAAATATTTTTTTTGCGGAAAAAAATGCAATTTTTTTTCACGAGAGTCACGATTTGTTTTCGCGAGAGGCACGGTTGTGCTTTCGCGAGAGGCACGGTTTGCTTTCGCGAGAGGCACGGGCGTGCCTCTTTCGGAAAGGAAAAAAAACGCGTTTTCTGTTTTTTTTTCTTTCGCGAGAGGCACGGTTTTGCTTCCGCTAGAGGCACGATTGTGCTTTCGCGAGAGGCACGGACGTGCCTCTTTCGGAAAGGAAAAAACGCGTTTGCTATTTTTTTTCTTTCGCGAGAGGCACGGTTGTGCTTTCGTGAGAGGCACGGGCGTGCCTCTTTCGGAGGGAAAAAAACGCGTTTTCTGTTTTTTTTTCTTTCGCGAGAGGCACGCTTTTGCTTCCGCTAGAGGCACGGTTGTGCTTTCGCGAGAGGCACAGGCGTGCCCCTTTCGGAAAGCGCGTTTTCTGTTTTTTTTCTTTCGCGAGAGGCACGGTTTTGCTTCCATCAGAGGCACGGGACGTGCCTCTTTCGGAAAGGGAAAAAAACCCGTGTTTCCGGTTCGGATTTTTCGTCGGTTTTTTTCTTCCGATTTTTTTCGTGAAAAAAAAGTTCGTCAAAACCTATTAACATGAGATCTAGTTTTGAAGATCTCGACGCGAGGAATCCAATGACGAAAGCGGTTCGAGATTTAGACGCACGGTTTAAGAGATAAAACATTTTGAATAAACGGATCTACGAAAAAGGGAAAACTACTAGGTTGCGACAAGTGGCGCACAGGCAGCGCGCCACTTGTCGCAACCTGGGGAAGTTGGAGTGATCTCCGCAAGGAGTACTCCTTAATTAGTGATTTCGTCCTTCCTCCCTTTCTAAAGAAGTAAGCGCATGGCTCGTTTGTTTTGGGCCTCCCTCAGAATTATTAGTTCCGATCTTATTACTGCCTTGACAATCAATATACTATGCGTACTGCATAGAGCTCAAAAAACAAAAGCAAACACGTCTCATTATTGGAATTAATTTTTAGATAATGTTATTTAGCGAACATTCACTAGGATGCATGACCAACGTTTTTCAAGGCAATTT